ATTAAATAAATTCGTAGAAGTGTGAAGAGTTTTAATTGTTATGGTATGTTGAAATAACATGAAGAAATTAAACATATTTTTAGTATAGAGTTGTGAAGATTGACGAATGTCATAATTCCAATCGATTTACGATATTGTGTAACATTAACACATTTGGATGCAGGCTCAGTTGTCTAGAGGTTAAGAGATTGCGAGTGAGGCCGAAGGACTTGGATACGACGTTATATGTGCTTTCTGCCGAGAAATCTCATACTAGGATGAAATGGCCATCTAGTACTTCCAGGTTTTCAATAATGGTCTAACTCAGACTGTGTCATAGTTTTAATAATCGAATTCCAAAAAATAATCGCCAACTGGTATATATATATATATATATATATATATATATATATATATATATATAAAAGCTTAGTTGTTTAATATAACTTGATTCATATCAGTAGTAATCAAGTATATCTTTGTATAACAATCTTTGAGTTGTATATTGTATGAATATTTTAGTGATACCATTCGAATACACAAACCGAAGTAAGTAGAAAGCTAAATTTTGAACTCCCTACTCAGTAGTTGGGAGTTGAGTTCTATTCACCATAAAGTCAAAGTTAAATAAATACTACTATATCAAAATCTATGCATTTTAAGTTCATCAGTCAATTTTCTATAGAATTAATGATTATAAGAATGACAAAAACACATTATAATTTGAATAAGTGTTTAGTAATAAAATTTATGATCAATTTTTCATTCAGTGCAGCGAATAGTGTACTGATCCATAAAAGAAGAGTTACTAGTTTAAAGTATAAATCCAAATATTAACAACGGAATGTAGATACATTGAACTAACGAGTTTCAAATATAATGAAGTGTTTATCCTATGGTCTAATGTTTACTACTATAGAGACCATGTAAAATGAGTGTAGAGACTTTTGTTTTGTCCATATATTCATTTAAATTAAAAATTCAGAGAGATAAGTATCTTTCTAAAATATGTATCAACATTTTATTATTTTTTTTTAAAAAAAACGTCAATTTCTGTGTGTTTACCAGTAACATACAAAACTAGAATAGGAATTTTACTTCATTGAGGGGTTTATAAACCTAAATGCAGAATGTTTAAAAGATATACATACAAAATTAAGAAATCACCGTTGATTAACAAAAATTATGAACCTAGAGAACTACGAAAGTCATCATCCAGAAAGTACAGGTGTTTATTAACAGTTGTCTACACAAAATACTTCAGATCCGTTGGCCAGACACTATTAGCAACAACCAACTGTGGAGAAGAACAAACCAGAACCCAGCGGAGGAAGAAATCAGGGAGAAGTGCTGGAAGTGGATAGAATACACATTGAGGAAAGCACCCAACTGCGTCACAAGACAAGCCCTCACATGGAATCCTCAGGCCAAAGAAAGAGAGGAAGACCAAAGAACACATTACGCCGGGAAATGGAGATAGACATGAGAAAAATGAACAAGAATTGGATGAAACTAGAAAAGAAGGCCCAGGACAGAGTGGGTTGGAGAATGCTGGTCAGCGGCCTATGTTCCGTTAGGAGTAACAGGCGTAAGTAAGTAAGTAGTGACAGAGCAATAAGCCTATCCAGCTTAGAAAAAACACTTCTAAATGTATATAACTTTATTGCATATTGTTTCTGGTATCATTCAAATGTAGTAGATTACAGAAAACTTAACTTTCGCAATTAGCAGAATGTTTCAACCTAATATATAATTTTGTCAGCAAATTCATACTACTTATTACTAATGTTTCAGTAGTTACGTTCTTTTTGCTAAATACTGTGTGTCCAATACAGTTCGATATTGTCAGCATAAAATTCCTCAACAAAAATATATGTAAACAAAATAAAGAAATGAATAAAATCGTATTAAATCCATTGAAATCTTTTTAGAAGAAAATTACAATCTTCACAATAGTGAGTACATATGTACATGTTCAAGAAAATAATTGTTTGATTTGATCATAATTTATAAAAATTTCCTGTATTGTATATTTCTTAGATACAGTTGTGTATAGTACTTTGTGTATCTGAATTAGAATGCCACAGTCTCACTGTAGCAGAAGATATGTGTATATATGAGGAGAATATAGTGAGTGATTTATATTTAACGAGATAATGCTTGACATTTATTTACTGGATTTTAGACTTCTGTCCACGAACTTATTCATAATCACGTCAAAAGATTCACCACATTTACTCTACTAACTACTTTCAATAATTTACACAACACGGAGCTATCAAGCAGAGAAAAGTACTGATAGGAAACAATATAGGATAACAGATAATAAACAAAATAAAAACTCACTTTAAATGATTAATAAATTATGAGATGATTAGGTTGTGACATAAACTATCAATGATGAAGATCAAAATTACTTAATTATTTATGTTCCATAATTAAATATTGAACTAACTACTATAAATCATTCATAAATATAGAATCCTCGTTTCTTTAACGTTTTCCAGCTACATTGGCTAATTAGTGCAGTAATTCATAAAATTAGTCAAATGATTTACAGAATACTGTACAGTGTTATTAATATTCAAGGGATAAGTAAGAGAAAAGTTTTTGTTTAATCTTCTCATGAAAGAAATACTAAAGCCTTCTTTGTTTAAAAATCTATGCAAATTTTAGTACAGCAATGTTAACAATTATTTCATTAGTGATTAAATACAATGTAGTTTCATGGCTTAAGGGCCTGAATGATAAACTGTCCATTACATTATTTAATCAATTCATGGTCAATCTCCTCTCTGATTGACATGCATCTTCTCTTATTTCCTTACTGAATAAACTAACGTTTCCGGTCAAATCATATACTGATGTGACTTAATATCATGATACGATTATCTGATTCTATTCACATACAGACCAAAATAAAAGACAAATGAAAGTAATGCTCAATAGAAAACAACATGAATAATTATTTGCAGGATTAGCCTGACTGGAATTAGTTGCGTATTGCTTAAAAACCACTTGGGAATATAAAATTTTGTTTTTAAAAAATTAAAGGTTATCAATAGAGTTTCATTAATGAAAAAGTACTTCTGTCAATTGAAGTTACTGGAACACTAGTTTATTTAATTAAAAACTATTTCTACTGTACAATCATAAATGATAGTTGGTAACTTAGTAGCTGCATAAGAAGCAGTGAGTTTATTAACAATTATACGGGTGTCACATAGAGCTTAAGTAAGTTATAAGTCTTATATAAAAACGATTAGACATTGATTACCTAGTCGCTACCTACTCTGCAAACAGAGAAAAAAAGGAGAGAAGTGACATCACTTCGATAGGTAGATTATGTGGAAGACACTAACAAGAGTATATGTGATGTTAGACCTTTAGAAGCTTCTCGAAAACATGCCAAAACTGGTAGTAAACTCTTTAACTTAAGCTGTTTTCTAAATTTTTTTGAGAGTTCTCAAAGAGTACATATTGGTTTATTTATCTCTAACATCATGCTTTCTGCAGAATTTTATTGGCAGTTATTGAGGAATTTTAACAAGAAGTTTATCGCAGTTTCCATTATTAACAGTTTTGTGCAGAAAAAACTGGCCTGATGTCTACTGAACTTAATGAACTTACCTTGGTGGTTCGATAAATTAGGGGATATTACCATTTCACCACAAAAAAAGCAATGGTAAAGATTAAAAAGCTGTTAAATGGTGTTTCGATCTTTCGTAACTTTTGTTCAAAATATGCTTGTAACAGAAAAATTATGGGCAGTTGTAATACCTTGTCACCTTAAATAGAAAGTTTTTATTATCCTGCTCTAATCTACTTCGGATTAAGTAGAAATATTTTGAAAAAAACTTGAAACTAAGCAAAATCTCAAACTATTAAATAATATCACAAGTTTGTTAATTATCCACGCTTACAATCGGCTTTCGGAGAGGTTATAATTTACTGACGACCTCTAAACGATAATAAAATAACTTGGAGAAACTTCGGCCATTTACTAGATTTAAAGAAGGGTTGTAAATTGGTATGAGGAAACGAGATTAGATGTTAGAGTTTAGTGATAGGGTTAGGAATTAGAGATAGAGTTTCATCACGAACTAACACCAACTATAATGTCAGGATGGTATTTAGCCTTTTAAATTAATGAATCTTATTGGTTCGTCCAAAAATTATGGTCCTAATTAACTTTCACTGATTGAACACCGAAAGTAATATTTCTAATGCCAAAACCTTGTCTGAAAGCGATATAACGCAGACAAATATGAAAATATTTAGTGACACTTGATAACAGATGCGTAGTGAAACCAGTAGGATAAATGTAATTTAACTACTAGATAGTACACCCAGTCTATACGGCACTAAATCGATCATCATACTAGGCCACATGATATAGGCCAAACGATAGTTAATTAACACATGTACAAATAGTCAACACAGAGCAAATGAATAGTAGAAATCAACCATTTCAATCTAAAAATAGTCCATAGATTTTTCACCCAATAATAAATCATGACTCAGTTTCTCGTGACACATCAGGAAGCAAAGAAACTATCAAGCAGTGATATAATCAGTAGCATGACAATGAAAATAAGGAACTGCAATATCTGCATTCAGTCCAGTTTAAAGTATATTTAGTAGTAGCTACCGTAGAGTTACACAATACAGTAGTATATTTTGTGTGTTTACTTTTCTAAATTCGAAAGTAATAATGTAGTGCAGATATTATGACTAAACTACTGAGCAATAAAAGTTAAAATCGACCGAAGAAATATGAATTTTCTAAAGCTCTAAATTAGCTTATTTATTAACTGTCAAGAAGTTTGAAACTTGTGTTCACAGAGGTCTATCAGTCGCTTTGAAAGATCAGCTTTATATTAAAGATCATTAATGAACGATAGAAAAAATGAACTTTTTTTGCAAAAGAAATAGTTAATTTCGATTAATTAAGTACAAAATGTAATAACTTACATTATGGATTGTACTACTTAATACCGATCGTCGTTTTTTTAACTTTTTCATAGTTGAACATAAATCATCTTCATCTGAATATTCAGAAGGTTCTTTGGTTTGTTCTCCTTTTGTAATAAATGTGTAAAATGTTCAGGTCTACATAAATTTGATCGATTAGTACTATTATTGTTGTTATTATTTATTTTGTTTAAATGTTTCGATTCAATGCCAAACTTTCTGGATTGATGTGAATTTAAAAATCTAGTTCGCTTATACTGATGTTGTAAAGATTTTCGTCTTAAAAATTCATAATGTGCAATTTTATCATATTTTGCTTGAATTTCAGCTTCATTTATTGCTTTCATAAGAGAAGCTTCTTTCACTGGCTGTTGAGCACATAAATAATAATAATGTTTCAGTACTTCTGGATTAGGTTCAGGTAGGTTAAATTTATCATTATATGGTGAATTATTTATTCCTTCTACTTCCATAATATGAGCGTCATGACGATTAAGTGGTTCCCACCAACACAATGATGAGCTTGTAGATTTAGGTATTTTCAAACTGTTTGATTTACTTGTTGTAATACTATTACGTGGTAACGAAGATTGACGAATTCTCATTTGATTAGTTTTAGGTGAATGTGTTAGTTTTGGACTTGAAGGTAATTGTAAACGGGGTATATTCGGTTTGTTAGCTTGCTTTTTATTTGTCATAAAACTGTTGTTTTTATACTCCATACTTATTTTTTCTAATTCTGAAGACGTACTGTCACTGTATGATAATTTACCAACTTCAGAATCATTGTGTCTAAGTCTTCGTTGTTGTGAATTATAGTCACCTGTAAATCTATGAACTTCAGAATTTTTAAGAATACGTGTACACGCTGTTGAAGGAATGTAGATTGGTAGAGGTGAACTGAATGGTTTCAACTTCTGTTCCATATCGTCTGTATTTATAACTGTTGGGGAGTCTTGTCTGTATGTTAACATTTTAGATGATGCTGTGAATTCGCCAATACAGTTAGAATTTTTGGTGGAGATGACGTAATTAAATCATCCTTAACTAAATCATACGAAAGACTTGGAGGCGAAAGAGACATTTCTCTTAAATAAACAGGTTTCTGAGGATAGTTGTATGAATGAGTGAAAGTAGTATTATTTGCTGGAGGTAAATCTATACTTGATTCCACTGATAGTCTCTTTGACGTGGAGTATCTGGTGTAGCTGAGCCAACTCCAATACCTCTGAAATCATTCAAAATATTTGACTTGAAGTCAAATTTTGTTTGATACTGATTAGAAACTTTTCTCCAGATGGTGCCTGTTGGATAGTTAGTTCTTCATGAAAATTTGAGGGTTGAATCTCTTCACTTATGACAGACTTATGATTTATTGATGTAATTCCAAACGCATCATCACATTCTCCCGTATTCTTATCATTTTCACTGACATATTTAGGTGGAGATAAAGTTGTTATCAATAATTGTGGTAGCGATGACGCAAAATTTTGTGAAGGCAACATAATCTGTTTTGTATCTAACGATTCATGTGCGATTGCAGATCTAGCCCGATTTAAAATATCTGTGACTAAGTCGCGTGACGTCTTCTCAAGATTATCTTCAAATTCCAACACATCCTGATTATTTTCATCTTGTTCCACAGAAAGATTTTTCACTTTTGTCATTTCTATCAATATATGTCACAGAAAAAGATCGTTTGATGTATCTTATTTAAAAGAAAAAACAATCATATAGTAAAATAATTATACGACTGTTTTTCTGTTCCATAACCATTTTAAACATTAGATGAAAACAAAAGGTTTATTTATGACAGAATATTTTGGAAATGTTTGTTTTATCAAAATACAAATTCACTTGAAAATCATCAAATCAATTTAATTCAAAACTACTTTAATGTTATTTATCATTTAAATAACTAACCAATTGTGAATGCATGGTAATGGGTATACATACTTGAATAAATATAAGTGATTTTTCTTAGAAAACTATAATATCAAACAGTTTGTGAAACTTATATGTAATTTCATGATATGAAAATGATTTGATCTATCAAAATGTCACTTGTATAGAAGGTATAAATAGAAATGGTAAGTAATTTTCTGAAATTAATTATATTACTTAAAGCAACTTAGTAACATGTGTAATATTTTATTACACCGAAATATTGATTTATAGAAAGATTTTTGCCAATACTAGCAATTATAACTCTTTCGAACTTTTATTGTGTAACCTAAGTAGAATGTCGTTTCAAACCACAGTTCCTGCTGAGTAAATCCAGCCTATAGTAGCGATATAGGACTTGCAATATCAGTCCTTGGTAAAATTCTTTGTGTATTTTTTGGAGTTGATAATAAATTCATTTTGTGAACTTATCAAACAAGTTTTTAAATACAAAGTGATATGAATAATGACAAAGTAATCGAAAAAGAATGATTGGAAATTGGTAGTAAAGAACACCACTTAATAATCTCAGTAACGAAAGCGTGCTTCATAGACAAGTAACTGGTTTAACCTGTTCAAAATGAACTTTTTCAATAATAATAAAGCCAAACAAATTTAACCGAGATTAAGAATTACTCAGGCTACAAAAATTAGACTAGTTTTTTTAAGTCCCATTTCATTAACCAAGTTTATCCTTGGATATAAATTGGTAATTCAGGTTTCTTGTAGAGTTTTTGTGAATAATACAGTCTAGAATGAGGAAGAAAATTCGAAATTAAAACCGTTATCAGCGAGAATATAACACAAACAGCAACAATCAGCCGAATTATAAATTTTTTATTACGGATAATTTTTCGAACTGGTAATAGGTCTATTCTATCGATTCTACTTTTCTTTACGATAAGTTAAGTGATAAAACGATTTGACAATTAGGATTATTTTGTTGAATAAGTTGAAAAGTGATTTCAAGCAAGCTAGGGAATATTAAGGAAAAATTTAAGTCCGGTGCTATTTATTTCATGAATAGATTAGTTGGATGTTTACGCGGTTTTTTTGTCGATTATCCAGTCTAGTTTATAAATTTTGTAACGATGATTTTAACGTTTTAAAGTGATTATTGTTTTTTTCGGATAGTATCTTGTCGATAACAAAAATTGATATTGGGCGGCCACTCATAACTAAAATTCAGATTAGCAGACCTGATAATTTGGTGATGATACTAAACAAAGAGATTTGAAGACAGTTTACTTAGGAATGTTAACCACCTAGAGACATATTTAACAACTTGGGCCCCAATATATTGAGTGATAACACTCGACACTTCTGAATCTCTATGCTGTTTACATCCAGATTTGATGTAATTATCGAGAAATTTTTTAAAAATTTGATACGGTCTCAACAAACTAGGTACCAGAATGAAGATTTGCCCAATAAAATCTATTAGCTGTTTAGTTTTGCTGTCGGTAATCGACTGTTTTCGATGGTATTAGTTCTTTACATTAAGTATTTAGTGTGTGATATAATATCTTTTTATTTGAATGAAAATTGAAAAATCGACCTAATTGAGGGATAATTATCAGACATATCCATAAGGCAATATCTCATGTTATAAATCAGATTGAACTACGTAGTTAATTCTGGTCAAAGTTATGCACGTAGAAAAAACGTTACTTTGTTATGAGCGTCTATTTTCATCTTGACAGCGGCACCCTGTCCTTAATGACTTCCAGAGCTCAGATTTTCTTGGACGACATGAGATAAAAATCTGTTTTCTACGTAAATGATTCAAGGGAATCCAGGGAAGTTACCGTAAAGCTCCAAATTTTTCTAAAGTCTATGTTTTGAATTGTGCATTTAAAGATGCAGTAATAATACATATACTTACTGATATGAAACTTGTAGGACATAGATGAAGGTATGAAAGTACAAAGGCTCGTTCGTTTTTTGGATTAAAAACATTACAGAGTTCTGTAAGTACTACTGTACCAATGTATCACGATAAATCCGTACCACGAGTTGCGTATATTACCCAAAATAAGCCGTTTTAGTGACAATATGTTTCTCAACTAATCAATTAATGGATATAACTACAAAATACTCTATGAGCACAGAAAACCAGCCACTCAAATCTAATAATGCTTAGATAATCACTAAACTGACCTATATTATTGATCCTATACATTATAAGTTACGTACGTCGTCAAAATACTAACTTGCAGCACCAGTCACAATTTCTGACATGGCTTGCACAAATTCATAGGACAGAGCTTATTATATTATCTTTATATACCGACCTTACCACTCAAAAGTACTAAGTATATGTTATATTGGAATGTCTGAATTTTAGTTTGCCAGATCATACTATTATTTAGGTATTCATTAATTTTTCAATGTCGTCACTATAAATGGATATTATAATTGTTTGCTATTTAGACTGCGTTATTGTCTCCTAGATGGGAAAATTAGTTTTCAGATAAATGACAAAAATAAATAAAATTTAAACCACAAGTTTTAAAATAGATGTTCGGTTGGATTAGAACGGAAAACTTGGAAAGATGACTACCGGATCGGTAACTGGCAGGTGGCAGTTCCCTAAGTCATTTACGTGATTGGTGGTCACTTCTCTTATGATAAGATGACCTATACTAAATTTTCACCAACATTCGTATCTATATGCTTATATTTTGATCATAAATTCGAATATTTGAATGTCATGTTTCACGTCAATGCATTATCTTACTCACTATCCTTGAATAAGAACTTCCTTCTAAATTTGATCGAACGGTTTCACAATACTTGGGCGCCGAGTTGATATGAGACATAAAAGAGTAAGAATGTATTTGTAACATCTCAGGAAATGGATTTGAAGTGAATCCAACGTTTCGCCTAACAATTTGGTTTAAGCTTTTTTAAGGAAATATAATCAAACATCAAAATTATCGAATATAAATAGGTACATAGTTCTCCGGTACACTGTACACTGAATAGGTCATCCAATCAACGTTAACAATGTTTTAGGTAGGCATTTGTATTAGGGTGTAAGGGACATGTGGTGTGAAACAAAAAGTGTTAAGATAAAATATTGTGTGTACACGTAAGTGCGGGGAAATTTCACTCACTATATATTGTCTCTGGTCGGTAAATTTTAAGAAAACCTATAATTTGTCTAAATGATATGAATCAAAAATGTCACAGCATGCATAAAATGAAGATAAATAAACAAGATCAAAGAATGAATTCAAAGAGGAATAATGTATTTGTAATTGAAAGTTTGTGTTATTTTAATGTTCCAGTTAATTAATTAACATATTCAGATAAGACAACTGATTAAAACCATTGAATGTAAGTGCTGTTACTAAGGTAATACCAGATAGATAAAATGGAATAAGGATTTCAGGTTTACTTATGAATTATTAGTTGTCATCGAACGACCAATTGTATTCCACCTCTCACATTGATACTGTTTAGATTTACCCATACGTGTAGGGCTTCGGCTGTCAGTCTCTCTTTGTAAGAATTAAAGCCTTTTTGAAGGATTCTTGTACGATTAAAATCAATTGCATGACCCGATTCTATCCGGTGTAATGCTATCGCTGATTTTTTTCTCGAGTTTTCTTACATCATCTGAGGATTTAGGAATGTGCTTTAGGCATAGTTTGTGCTCCTTCACCCTCACATTCAGTTACCTTGATGTTTGGCCTACATACGCTGCATTACAATCACTAGATTTGATGGCGAGACTCTAATTTAGGGACGAGCCAATCAGAAGCGTTTGAGCAATTTCAAGGTCACGGAGCCAAGTTCAACACGCGCTGCTAACATACGATCGGTTCACAGCGGATTTTAGAGAGTAGGTGATTAATGAGAGGTTACAACAGATGGGACGGCGAAACTCTATTTTAGGGACGAGCCAATGAGAAGCGTTTGAGCAATTTCAATTATTAGCCAATCAGAAGACAGTATAAAGTAAAAATATATTACAAGAAAGTAATGAATTACAGTGGATATTCTTCTTTTACATGATTTAAAAGCCTGTTGAGGTTTGATAAAGACTCAGAAGTTCTGAATTCATAATGCATATTGTATAGAAACTCGTCCATAGGGTTAGGGTTTGGGGTTAAAATTAGGGTTAAGGGTTAGGTTAAGGTTAGGGTTAGATTAGGATTTAGGGTTAGGTTAAGGTTAGATTAGGGCTTAGGGTTAGGTTAAGGTTAGGGTTAGATTAGGGTTAAGGTTAGGTTAGATTAGGATTAGGGTTAGGTTAAGGTTAGGGTTAGATTAGGGTTAGGTTAAGGTTAGGGTTAGATTAGGGTTTAGGGTTAGGTTAAGGTTAGGGTTAGGTTAGGATTAGGGTGCTAACATGCGATCGGTTTACATCGGATTTTAGAGATGTGTCTACTTACAGGCTACAACCCTAACCACTAACCCTATGGACGAGTTTCTATACAATATGCATTATGAATTTAGAGCCTCTGAACCTTTATCAAACCTTAACAAGTTTTTAAATCATGTAAAAGAAGAATATCCACTGTAATTCATTACTTACTTACAATATATTCTCACTTTATACTAACTGTCTTCTGATTGGCTAATAATTGTCAAGGTCACTTAAAATTCGTTCAAAGGTCGTCCTTAAATTAGAGTCTCGCCGATTTGATTTCATAAACACAATTATGTTGTTCTACATTGTGTATCGGACCTTAAGGTCCGAAACAAATACCAA